CAAGATGTATGGATGATTAGCAATGAATTTAATGTTTAGATTTAGAAATTTAAAGATCAGGCTCTTACCAAAACACATGACACTTAAATCTAAGGAACCATAAAAATTCTGCTTCTAGGAGTTGTATTCATGTCACCTAGTTGTAAGTAGCTAAAGGATACTAGTCCTGGTTTGTTGTCAAGAATTCCACTGTCAATACTGGAGAAAGACAGATACTTTTGGATAGTGACTGATGATTAAAGACAGGAGAGGCGAATCGTAATCCTTACGGCAGAAAGGTCTTATCATATCAAGGAAGAAGAGAAGCCCTTATTAGGCTTCTCCTTATGAATAGTCCTTCAATGGACTTTTAGCAATACGCACGACTGAGAATCATCACCCCTCACTTCCCATGTTATTCCTGTCAATCTGTCTTCCCCATGGCCAGATTCTACTGATTCTGTGGGGTTGTTCTCTATAAGTTCTGCCCCTGGGGTAAGTCATGCACGTCTCCATGCCTACCTCCGTGTGCGTTTGGAGCAGAGTCAGTAGTCATTATTAGGCAATGGGTCCTGTATCTTGTATACTTTCTATTACAGGATATTGCTGTCTTTCTTTTTGCCTCATATAAGATGCATTGTCAGTGTTGTCACAGAGTTAGTTTTTGAAAAGATTTCAGGGTCCTTACATGTCAAGGTGAAGACTGCAAATTATCTTCATAAGGAAACAAGTGAAGTTTTGAATATTTATGTTGTAAGTTTGGTCTGAGTTGCCTATACATCAGAAGGCTAGTGAGTTTTTGTCAGGGTTAGAATTGTCCCACTGGTAAACAAAATTTTTGAAGTAAACATTTATTTAGAAATGCTTCTGTAGAATCACTGCTGCATTGTGAGTTTCCTTCTAGCTATACTTTTCCTGTTAATTGTGTGTAATGATGACTGAAAAGCTAAAAGATGTGCTTATACAACTTCCTGTTCTCAAGCACATTGAGCTTCATTTGCAGAGTGATCAGGAGGCACTTGTTTGTCGATCTATTTCTTTGAGATCTTTGAGAAGGCTTAGGGCTAAAAAAGATCCCATTGCATAATCCCAGCAAGTCAGGTTTAGCCAGGTAAGCACATAAAAGTGAACTGTGAAGGGCTAATTCACAGAATCACAGAATCACAGAATTGTAGTGGTTGGAAGGGACCTCAGAGATCATCGAGTCCAACCACAAAAAAAAA